CAGATGGTTCTGGTTTGGGTGATCACATCCAGTTGCTGCAGATCTATGAATGCTGGGATCAAAATGACTATGACATTGGCTGGTGTAAAGATAATGACTTGCAGGTACTTTTCTGTCTTTTAATTTGGAAGGTGTGTTATATTTAGAACTGCAAGATATTTGATGAGTTATTTCAGTTTATAAGTATAAGCTAAACTCTTGCAAGGTAAGGTCATAAAATAACATGATTTTTCTCATATTAGAGCTTTTTTCATAACGCCTTGGTTTATTTCATTTATTTATGCAATGAGAGCATAAGTTGCCTTTCAGCAACTAGACAGACATAAATTTGCCATGAATGCTTGATGAGTGTGCCATATCTTGCTATTCTTTTCCCAGCATAGGCAATTTTGTGGTGAGATCAGTATTAACCAAATTGTATGGATACGTTATAACTATATCTTGTAATCTTGGTCTGTAAAGATAAATAATGTTTTTGGAATATTTCATTTTTAGGTGCGGGGAATGGTGTTTGTCAAAGATGTTCGAAAGCAGTTATCTCAGATAATGCAGAAGATGGCGAAGGGTCAGTATTTTATTTTATTAGGAGTTGCCTCTGTATACATAAAGATGCCTGGATGGTTATAACATTGGAGATTCTGCTTTTATTATTTGATTTGGCTTTACTTTGCACGGTGTAAAGTGTAAACCTCATGTTTTCAGCAATAACTAATCCTATAGTTTGCTTATCTTTTATCCATTTTATTTTTGCAATAAGACATCTTATTGAATTGTAACAGTTAGATTGGGACCTTTATTTTGTTCATCTTGTTAAACCTAATAAACTGCAGATTGCTTATATACCATATATTAAGCCCATTTTTGCACCCCAAACAAAATATTATGCCATAGAAGTTTGGAGAGGGGGAGAGGGGATTGCATTGAGGGTATTTCAAGTGCATGTCTCTTTTTCTGTGTAGTTGAAATGGGGAATGCATTTCTTGGTTTGGAATAAAGGAATCCTTTGAAACTTTGAAATTTGGACCTGAAGTTAAAGCTTTCTGGCTTTTGTTATCTTATCTGTTGGTATTTTCCTTTCACCTACTTATACTTCTGACGTTCATCTTTGACTCAATAATTGATCAGGATCATTGGATGTGCAAGCAAATGGAAGACGGAATGAAAGCCAACAGGACTATAGAAAATTAAGAAAGGCTTTGTGCATAGGCTATGCAGGTCAGCTTGCTGAGAGGATGATTCATCATAATGGCTATCGAACAATAGGTTTCAAGTCTCAACTAGTTCAGGTATTAAATTTAGTAGTTTACAGTGGTAGTTTTTCTGCTCCAAAAGAGAAAAAAGTTTACTGTGGTAGTTATGTTCCTACACTACTAATCTTTATAAACTATAGGTCCATCCATCCTCTGTGTTAAGGCCAGATGAAGAGGGACTGCTCCCAAACTATGTTGTTTACCATGAACTTATTGCTACCTCCCGTCCATACATGCGCAATGTGTGTGCTGTAGAGATGCGATGGGTGGTACCAATTTTGAAGAAGCTTGAGAACATAAATGTGAACAAACTAAGGTAAAAAAGATATTTCAAAGAGATTCTAAACTGCATAATATATTCTTTTTTGTAGTCTATAAATTGAAGATGACATGCTTGATTATGTCTTCTTGTTTTTGCAAAGCAGCAGTGGATCGAGTGCAGTAGACAGAACTGAGAAAAATTCGTCAGACTTGCCAAAGAAGGATATTGCTGCTGTCCCTGATGACCGTGACAGTAAAATTCAGGCAGCTAGGGAACGTTTCCTTGCTCGTAAAGCAAAGAAATAAGACTTGGATACCTCCCTTATTATAAACATTCGGAGGAATGGTGGTGTAGCAGTTTGCTGGGTTTGCTTTGTATAAATGGGGCCCCCTACAGTTCAGAATAGTGCTGGTGAGACTGATGTTTGTATACTACCTGTCTTTCGACTACCTTGTATTTCTTCCTTAGCCTTTTTTCCAAGTCGTATAATGTCATCTGATTTGAGACTTCTGACCAAAGGACCAAGGTAAATGAGAATGCAGCGCTCAATATGCAGACCTGCATTTGATTACTTCCAGACGCAGTAAATTTAGTCTTTCTCCTCGGAGCACATACTGATGGTGGTGGAATGACGTCTATCGTCAATGGTAAAAATGATTTCCAATAGTGAGATACCTTTTAACTGAAGAAAATTTTCTTTTCCATACACAAAGAAATGCTGAGACATTACAAATTAACATCATGTTTGTATCATTATCAGGACCATGATGAATCCTATTTGTGAAATATACTGGTTTTTTACAATATGCTTATCCATACTGAGTAGGTCAATTAGTTTCATATAAGATGAGGCAATGTGAGTGTTTCCCCACCCAAGCCTTCAACAGTGGATAGGATTTGTGGTAAATTTGTTTCAGCCTTCCAGGATTCCGAATTACAAGAAGTCAAGAATTGGAGGTAGATCACGCAGTCCAAGGCCATTTATATTTTATAAAAAAAAAGAAGCTACAATAATTTTTTTTAATAGCGGTTTATACAATATGATTCGACTCTTTGTGATGTGTCAATTTGATTTGGTTGTCATGCGGGGTCATTTGTTTTAATGTTTTGTGTCATCATATTATACAATCACTATATTAAAAAAACATTGTGACTCTCATTGCAGATATGAAATATTTTTGTTAGCTGTTTTATCATTTCATTGATCTGAAAATAAATATTGAGAGAATCATTTTGGCAAGGGGAAGTCCTATGGTCTAAAAGCTGTTCTAGCCTTTATTTTCTCTCAATTTTATTAGTTGGTTGTAATTGCTCGGTTTTTGGTGAAGCGCACACTTTATTCCTTCACTTTTTTTTTTTTTGACCAGATTTACAAGGGTGGGTTTCGAACTCACCATGGGGAGGGGGATATGCACCTGCAAGGACAACTCGAAGGTCACTTGACCCGAAGGGCCAGGTGCACTTTATTCCTTCACTTGAATGGGGACGATAAGAAAATACACAAAGTATATATTTTTTTTTTTTGAAAATTGAAAATTTGGGTGATGGAATGGAAGAATTTTTTTTGGAATTCGAACAATTGTAACTGCAAGATCTGGGAGGCACTGCCAAGGTTCAAAAATTGCCATGAGTAGAGATTATCAGAGGAGATAGAACCAATGTGACCTTAATTTAGTTGTTATTTTTTTATTGATTAAATATATTTCTTTTATGGAATTTAATAAAAAAAATTGATTTAAGGGGGCATTTGGTATACACTGTTAGGAAACATTCTTCTTCAATATTTTATAAGGGTAATTTAGTGTTTATATATTTTAAAATTATAATAAATAAAAGGAAAAATAGTTTTTTAGTTTTTATTTTTTTGATATATTAAATGATAAATTATATTACAAGGGATAGTTCTTCTCTTTGTAAACTTTTTCTCATCCATCACAGTATTTTAATTTAAAATATTTAATATAAAAATTTAAACTTTTAATTACTTAAATGTATTTTAAAAAACTAATTTTTATTTTTTCAAATACGATTTTTAACAACTTACTTTTAATCTCACATTAAGAAAAACTTTCTGAAAAGAATTTACCACAGCTTTTTTTATTAATTTTTTTATATTAATTTGTTATTAAAAAAATTAATAATTTAATAAAATTTTAATAAAACTTTATTTTAAATTTACTTATTATTCATATATTATTTTTTAAGTTTTTTATACAATAATTTCTTAATTATTTTCTCAATAAAAACATTTTTAATAAAAATAGTTTATAACGCAACACGGATAAAATGTTTAAAAGTGAGACTTAAACTTGAGTAATACAAGAAAAAAATAAAATAAAATAAAGTAAGACAGCAGTATTCTAGTTGACTACCAAACGGCCTGCCCCTGGCCGTTGCGAGATCCAAAGTTTATCCTTAATAAAATAAGAAAAATCAAGACATAATTATTACTTCAGAGTCAAATTATTTAAATATTTTATTATTATTATTATTTTTGAAATTTTAATGGTTAAAACTTCTTCAATTTCCTTCTATTTTTTTTGGTAAATTGTCTTCAATTTCTTTAGTCCAATAAAAAATACCAAAAAAAAAAAATATTAAACGAGGTCAAGATATCAAACGGCAATTCCAAAGATTGACGAAGGGCAAATCAGGCTAAGGGTATTTTTAGTGCAGTTGGTAAGTATTTTAATTTTTTAATATTATTTATATTTTATAAATTTAAAATTTTCTATTAAAACTTTTTTAATTTTTTTTAATTTTAAAAATATATTAAAAAATAAATTTAAAAAAAAATTATTTTTATTTTTTTTTATAAATTTTATTTTTACTCCTTCTTTATTTTTTTTTTAAAATAATTTTTAAAATTTTCTTCTAACAAAAATTCCATCTTATAACCCATAAATAATATTAAAAAAATAAAGATTCTAAGCTAACTCCACCAAACATGACCAAGAAAGGAACAAAAAGATCCAAAGGGCAGCGGCAGCACCCAACACCAACCCACACCAACCCAAGGCCATCAACATCTCACCAGAATCAAGCAAGGACATAAAACAAAAACGCCCTCTCTTCAACACCTACCGCCCTCTCGCCTTGAATTCATCTCCCTCTCTTCTCCCCAGAATCCTGATTCTGGTGCCTCCCTCGTCCATTATCCATTTCCGTATACGTTTTCACTGTGTCGTTTGGAAACAATGGCGACTTCTGCTGTGTCATTGGAGGATGTTCCTTCTGTTGATATCATGACGGAGCTGCTCCGTCGCCTCAAGTGCTCTTCCAAGCCTGACAAGCGTCTTGTTCTCATTGGTACTCATCTTTTTCCCCTCACTGCTTTCGTTTTCTTGTCATTCTGTTCTTGTCAGTTGAACTGCTATTTGATATTCATTATTGTCAGTTTTTGAAATCCTGGTGACACTAGTAGATGAAATTGGTTTGGTTTCTAGGGTTTCATTATTATTATTATTATTTTAGTTTTTAGATTGTTGTTTCTTGGGAAAGCTCGTTTCTTTAGCGTAATTTAGAGCTGTTTGTTTCTGGGTCTGCAACTGTTTCTCTGCATCACTGTAGGATCCATGTGGGTATTGTGGGTTTTTGTGTTCTAAACGTCGTTGCTCACACTACTGCAGTCTTGTATTATGTAATGCTTGTGTACATTTCAATTTATTTTTAGTAAATGGGTAACTTCCAATTTTGAATGAGGCACTGCAATCTGTGAACTTTATAGTGTAGACTGATTCCAATAAAGGTAATTTGGGAGGTGAACAAGTTTGAACATAACTTTAATTTTATGTAAGTGAATGGATAGGGGTTCTTTTTTCTTTCATTACTACCTAGATGTAGTTGATTGCTTGTACTGAAATGTTTTCCCAACTGCAGGTCCACCTGGATCTGGAAAGGGCACTCAGTCGCCCATAATTAAAGATGAATACTGCTTGTGCCATTTGGCCACGGGTGATATGCTTAGAGCTGCAGTTGCAGCTAAAACACCTCTTGGAGTTAAGGCCAAGGAAGCTATGGACAAAGTAAACCGCTTTCATTTCTTATTGTTTGCTAATCTAATTGTGGATTATTTTAGTGTTAAATGCGTTTCTGTCTTGTAGGGACAACTTGTTTCTGATGATTTGGTTGTTGGGATAATTGATGAAGCAATGAAGAAACCTTCGTGTCAAAAGGGTTTTATCTTGGATGGTTTTCCAAGGACTGCTGTTCAAGCACAGAAGGTTTATTTCTTTCCAGTTTCATATTGCCTTCTTGGGCATCATCTGCTTCCTTTTCCTGTTGTCTAAATCTATAAAAGCTCAATCTTTTTTACCCTGTTGATTTCTTACCATGTTTGCTGTGGTTAATACAGCTTGATGAGATGCTTGAGAAACAGGGAACCAAAATTGATAAAGTGTTGAACTTTGCAATTGATGATTCCATATTGGAGGAAAGAATCACTGGTCGATGGATACACCCCTCCAGTGGGCGTACTTACCACACTAAATTTGCACCTCCTAAGGTTCATGGTGTTGATGATGTATGTGTCAATAAAATTCTCTGAAGTTCTTTGGATTTCTCTTTTCAACTATAGATGATGAAACAGAATGACTCTGTTGATATGATATGCCTTAACATATTAGTCAATTTATGATGGAATGCATTGATGACATGATATTGTCTTTGCTTATAAATATTCTCATGATCAATGTGTGCCATTCTTAAAATTCTTATTTAGGGTTTAATTGGGATTGATGAAGTAGCCTTGCAAATCCAATAATTTGATTTCTTTTCATGGTGGGGGCAAGATGCTAGCATTGACCTTAGAACTTCTGAGAATATTTATCACATCAATTAAGATTAATTTGTGAATCTCTGCATTTCTGTTCTTATATGTTCATATTTGATTACCCTTAACTGAAATTTGTTAATCAAATCTACTGCCAGATTATGGTTTTTGAATTTCTTGCATCCCAATGCTAACCCTGCTTTTAACTCCACCGTAGGTGACAGGGGAGCCTCTGATTCAAAGGAAAGATGATACTCCAGAAGTACTCAAGTCAAGGCTGGATGCATTTCACAGGCAAACTGAACCAGTAAGTTCTTTTTCCCTTGGTACTAACAAATTGGGAAATGAAACTCTCACTTGTGCTTCTTGAAATAAACAGCTTATAAGTAAGGGTTAATAATAAGATATATTTTTGAAAGGGATTGTTTGTTAGATTGTGCTTTGTATTACATTCATGAAACCCTCAATTTGAAGACAATCATTGGACTTTCACTTCTGCTTTTGTCTGTAGGTAGTGGTAACTATTCATTGACAAAGCATCATAGTTCTCTAGAGTTCATATAAAATTTGTTTGTATTCTGGAGTTAGCTTCACTTTCTATGCTCTACTTGGAGGAAAGATATAAAATAATAAGGATTTCTCATGCAGTACTGGAATGATTCTTTTAGAATCACTAATTAAAATGTGAATTTTGAGTGCAAAATCTGACAAGCACCTTCTAGCATGATACCATGCTGCTCTTTTCCCCTCACACTTCATCTCATTTTACAATGTTATAACCAATTCCATTCGTTTGACTTACAGGTTATTGAGTATTACGCTAAGAAAGGTATTCTTGCCCAGCTTCATGCTGAGAAACCCCCCAAAGAGGTCACTGCTGAGGTTCAGAAGGCTCTTTCTTAATAGGAGTGGATCCTTCTCTTTCCTTTTAATTTCTTCCTCACCACCTCTTTCCTCTTGAAACACTTGCTCATATTTAATCCGATATACTGTCGGATCGGCCAGTCCATTTTTTCAATGCAATGACTTAGAGCACACTGCTTGTAACTCTATATAACCTCCTGGGATGTTTCTGCTGCAGAATAATAATTTACTACAAATGCAATGATTTTGTGGTAATACTCTGATTTTGTGGTCATCATATTGCCACAATTCTCTTTTATTGAATAACCCTCTTGAATTAAGTATTAATCATCACTAATCATTTTTGTTATTTTTTCATGTTCTATATGTTTATTTCCCTTACTGCTCCAACGAGCAATGCTAGGGGCACTCGCCTCCTGCACTCTCCGGCCGACACTTTCTCTTTTATCGGGCCACGTTATTTTGGTTTCCGACAGGTTGCGCCTGAAAGCTTTAAAGAAGTTTACGTGGCCCAATGAAAGGGAAAGTGTTGGCCGGAGAGTGCAAAAAGCGAGTTCCCCTAGCACTGCTCCTGCTCCAATACATTACAGGAAATTGGAAAGTTCTTCCTGATCAATTTGAACAGGAGTGTTTTCTTTTTTTTTTTGTGTGAACGATTTACAATTTGAGGTGAGGAATTCAAACTTGATTCTCGGACCGAGGGGATGCATCTTATAATTGCGCACAGAGCCGTCAGAGCCGCAGACCTAGGTGCATTTTTTTTTGTTTCTTTGAACAAGCGAAATGTGCAAAGGAAGAGGAGTAATTATGTTCACCACACTCATTTAAAAATGTCGTTATTATGTTACCAAAGATTGGACAGACCTAAGTGCATTTGAGCAGAAGTGTTTTTATTAAAGAAATAAATAAATATTAATATGAGTCCTGATCATAAATGTGATCACTCATGCACTTTATTTATGAGTCCCATAAGATCGCTGCAAGATCTAAACCCACCTCGAAGGGATGGAGGTAGCAAAACGATGAGATTTTTTTTAAAAAAAAGAAAAAACGTAGGAACGGAAAAAGAGCAGATGAAGCAATGAGATACTTAGATATAAAAATTATATATAAAAAATATAAAAATTAATTATTTTTAATTTATTTCTTAAGAATAT